ACAATTAGAAAATATATATATTTTTAATTTAGAGCATGACATGGTGGACATTCAACAACACTGTAATACAGTTGGGAATTCTTATAGTAAATGGGGCCAGGATCAAAGGAGATGTCATGAACAGAGAATTTTCAAGATTTCACAGTACTACTCCACTGATGCATTCCTCCACTTCAGTTTGGACTACAGAATTTGAACATCCCTAATCAAAGTGCTTTGGTACTGGAAGAATAGTGTTTAAAAAAACCTCAGTTTTTCCCCTCCTGTGTCCCTCCTTTGCTTTCACACTACTACTAGATTCACAACACTTCACACCAGATTTGTGGTGGCGTTTCCCCCACAAAGCAATTCTCTGCAACACCAGCTGGGTGTTCTACAGTTTAACTCAATTCTAACCCAATCTACCTGGAGGAAACATCAGATCTCACAGATCAAGGGCTCAGTCCCACAAAACTGCCCTCACCCCACTTCTGAAGCCAATCTTAAGTCTAAGTTGTCACCTGTGCTTCTGACCAATTGGCTATGAATCAGAGCTTCCCAACTACCCCCTCCACGGGTTCAATTAATTTGCTAGCATTGCTCACAGAACAACCAAATGAAGAGGTATGCAGGATGAGGTCTGGGGGGTCCTGAGCAGGAGCATCTGTCACCCTCCCAGTACTTGGATATGCGCACCACTCTGGAAGCTCTCTGAATCCCATACTTTTGGGATTTTATGGGGGCTTTGTCACATAGGCATGCTTGATCATTAACTCCATTTCCAGATTCTTTCCCCTCCCTGGAGAATGTAGTGTGGGGTTGAAAATTCAAGCCTCTAATGATGGCTTGGTCTTTCGGGTGACCAGCCCCTATTCAGGAGCCCACCCAGAGTCGCCTCATCAGAACTAAAGATGCTGCTAGTGCTCTTATCACTTAGGAATTTACGAGGGTTTCTGTGCCAGGAACTGGGACGTGTATACACACACATACACATACATATGCACAATACATATATATATATATTTTTTTTTCTATTATCTCACAAATAGGTATACAAACTACAGTACATAAACACATGAGGAATTACTACAATTAATAGATTTTTTATATACTCTTCCCTTTATTAAGGTATGATTAACATACTGTAAAATTCACCTATTTTTAGTGTTCAAATCAATGCTTTTTAGTAAATTTATAATCATATAATAGTCACATCTAGTTTTAGACTATTTCCATCACCTCCACCCAAAAATTTCCTCTATACTATACTATGGTACTCACATTACTGTACACTAAGCCTGTTTCATAAGAAATCCATCACTCTAGTAAACAGAGTGATCTCCAGGCCTTCTCATAGAACATACAACGGTGAGTTTTCCAGCCTTAGGTACTATATCCATTCTAATAAGTCCACATTTAGGGGCCTGGCCGAGAAAAGGAGGGTCCCATGAGGTGGAAGAAAACTAGGAGAGTGTGGTTGTCATTGAGCCTAGAGCAACAAGTGCTAAAGGAGCGGGTAAGGAAGGAGGGCTTAGATTTAACAAGATGGAGATGGTTTAGGGTCAGAGGTGAAAATAAAAAGCCCAGTTGGAACAGGTAGAGAAGAAAATTAAGAAGGGAGCTTGTGAAGTTTTACTGTGTCAGAGGGCAGAAAAAGGAAGCTGTTTCAGAAAGGGAAAAGGACCTTGGGGAATTTTGCTTTTTAAGATGGGTAATATTATAGTATATTTTTTTGTTGAATGGGAGAAGTAGAAATTTATGAAGTGTTAGAGAAGAAAGGGCTATTTTCAGAATCACATTTTGAGTAGGAGATGGAATCCAAACCACAAATGACGGATGGCCTTTGACAGGCCTGGAAACATTTTTTATTGTAACAGCAAGAAGGGCAGAGCATGAGTGTACAGATGGAGGTAAGTTTAAGTTGTTGGTGAGGGATCAGGTGCTTGTGATTTTGTCTGTTATTTTCAAGGAAAGATGAGCTGGGGAGAGGTGGTGGGAGGTCTATGCTTTACCAAGAAAGACGGCCAGGAATCATGCTCTAGGAGGGTGGGAAGGAAGGCAGGCCCTCCTTGTCAGTGAGGATTTGGGTTGGGGAGCTAGGATTCCTTTGAAAGCCTTTCTTAGTTTATGTTTCTTTTCCCCATCATGTTCCCTTTTCATATAGATCACAAAAGAAATTTTTGTTTTCAGAGGTAAAGCATAGTATGCAAAACCTAGTCCTTTCTTCTGCCCTTGCTAGATAAAAGAACACTCAAGTCTTTGCTTGCATATAATAAACATAACTTGTTTTTTCTTTTGCTTGGTATTTTTTCATTTCTTATTAAGTCTACAGTTGAAATTGGGCTGTGGAGGAAAGATGTCACTTGTAATAATACAACAAATTCAACAAATATTTTCTGAGTTACCACTGGGTGTCAGGTGCTGTTCTATTGTATAACATTGACTCAAAGGCACAAAGATCCCTGGCCTCAAGATGTTGACAGGAGACAGGCAGGAGACATATAAACTATATATTATGTTAGAAAATAACAAGTGCTATGAAAAAAAAGGAGATTAAAGAGAAAGGAATGGAGAGAGAGTGTGGGGGAGAGGAGGTAGGAAGGCTGTAATTTTAAATTGGGAGGTGAGGGTAAGCCTCACTGACAAGTGACAGTTGAGCGAAGGTTTAAAGGACATGAGGAAGTTCCTTAGCTGCACAGTTACCCAAGGGAGTACAACAGGACAAAAAGTGGTGTTATTAAGCATATTTGCTAATGATAATGAGGGAAATCTTAAATAATCAAAGGGAAAGAGGGCTCTGCTTTTACAAATTCTAAGTGAATAAAGTAACAAAAACGGAGAGTCAACTGCAGGTTTGCCTAAGCATAGAACAAGAACAACCAGGATGTGGTATATCCCAGGAGAACTATTATCTTCAAGGAAATAGGTGCATAGGTGAGAGTGAGAGAACATGGGAGGTATTTGGAAGGACCTAAATAAATTAGTAGATGTAAAGATTGGAACCAACTAAGGGGGAGAGCTCTTGGGTGGGCACCAAAGGAAAGCTGCTTGTTACAGGGTGAATGTAGATCACAATAATGCAGAATTTGTGAGAACTAAAATCAGGGTGAGAATTTTACTTTCCTGATCCAGAGGCTACTGCGTTTTATACCAATTGGACAATCACACAGGTTTCTGTTTTCTGTATGTATGTTTTTATTTTCCCTAAGTTCATCCCATCAGTCACATCCAGAGTAGTTACACTTTTATTTGTCCCTGCTGCACCTTTAGTAGCTGGTTGTCTAAAATTCAAGTCCCCAAATAAAATCCATTAGTGATCATTTAACAACAACATTGCAGTAAAAGTCCTAGTTTAAGCCTAAACTGGACTGTCCTCACAGGTTCAACTATGTCTAAACATGTCTTGAGAACTGGAGAGACAGAACTACTAGGAATCTCTTTAACATAAGGAATGAGCATCTTCTCTGCCAGAAAATCAGTCTTCTGAAAGGAAAAGAGAGTCAGTGAGAGACTCTTGGTCCAGTAACAGAGAGAAGTGATTTTTAGTACAGCAGGATGTTTGTATCTTTTTTAATAGTCCATACCGGTTTCTTTCTGGTACAAGGAGAGGGCAGCAAGTTAAATAGAAGGATATGTTTGTCAAAGAACCTGTGAGACTCAGGAACTAAGCTGGTCTGATTTGAAACTCATGAAACAGAAAGTGCCTCAAAGTTGGGGAGTTTCTTCCTATGCTGGTAGAGTACTCAACAAGGTTCAGACATATCAAAGTGGGGTCAGCAGTCCTGGTGGCTTTGGCATAGAGTATCCGCTTTGTTAGCTGTGCATAGGATTGGGGGCAGCAGCAAAGTGGGAGGATGCCTTTTTAGGGAGTCGCTCCACTTCCGCCTGGTGCCTTGGGGGCAGCGGGGGGTGGCATTGGTGTCCTGGCATAGTGAGTGGAGCAGAGTTGGTTTAGCCCAGCCCTGTCAGGTTGTGACTTTAGCAGAGAGAATTAGTGGCAGCAGCAGCCACAAGTTGCCTTGACAGGGGCCACAGGGCAATGAGGCCTTGAGCAGAGCCAGTGCAGGAGTAGAAGAGCAGATGTCCTAGGCAGTGGGCATGGTGTCTGGAATCAGACTGTTAGGTTCAAGTCTTGCCATCTGCCTGCCATTAACTAGCTTTTAAGCCTTGGGTAAATTACTAACCTTTTTGTGTCTCAGTTTTCGTCTTAGTAAATCATATCTGGCTCATAGGGATTTTTAGAGATTAAATTAGTTTATACATGAAAGCACAGTTGTCAGGGACTGATTTGCAGTAGGAAATCCACAATAAGGGATAGCTTATTTGTTTCATCATCTAATGACATGTCACACTGGTCCAGTCCAACAGTACCTGGTGTTCAGATTAATTGCACGAAATACCAGATTACTGGCAGCAACCCCTAAAAAGTCCGTACTGTATGATAAGGAAACTGAAGGGTACTGTACAGCTTTTGCTGCCGCTATATTTGCCAAATACTTTCTATATGCCTGGCACTGTTCTAGTGATGTATAACTGGAATGTCACCTAAGTATTTAAGAACTGTCACTATGGGTGGAGGATGTGGGCAGATAGAGAACAAGAGTTACCACTGTGTATTTTTTCTGCTTTTTGGCGTTTTGAAAACAATTATCTGTTCTATATTTTTGTTTTTCAATACCACATACAGTCCATAATCCTTATATCCCTATTATTCAAAATCATACAAAGAATTTATCGCGCCAGGCACCAGGCAGATCGTCATTCAAATAAAGTAACCATTAACGAAGCTAATTAATTGGAGGGGAACGGGCAGGGCGGAGCAAGCGTCAAGCCGCAAGTTGCCAGCCCGCCCAAAGGCGGGAGACAGACTCTCGCGGGAATCTCAGGGTCCCGGGCAACCGGCCACGTGACTCCCCGGGCCGCCCGCGCACCCCGCAGCTGGCAGACAAATCGCAGCCACGTTGATGGCCTTCCTCGGCAAAAGGAGGGGGCGTGACAAATGTCCGTGCGTAGTACGTGCCCCGCCTTCCCCCCCGGAGCCCGGATGAAGAGTAACGCCATTACCGCCGGAGCTGCCGAGAGCATTCGTGGACGGGGACTGGGTATCGGACGGGTCGCGCCATGAGACTCCTCCCCCGCCTGCTTCTGCTTCTCTTGCTCGTATTCCCCGCCACTCTCTTGCTCCGAGGCAGCCCAGGAGGTGAGGCGAGGGCAGTGGGTGACGGGGCTCGGCCGGGAAGGAGACGCCAGCGACCGCAAGTTTGCAGCTGGAGGCGGCGGCGGCGGCGGCTCCTGGGCTCGGCGTCCACCTCGCTGTCCTCCTGTCACCTCCTCTCCGTCTCCCGGATGGTAGTAGGGGGCCGCAGGGCGCGAGGCGAGGAGCCCCCTCCCCCGGGGCCTCCGCCCCTTCCACGCGGAGTGCGGGGCTGTGCCGGGCGACCTTGCTAGGTGGCCGCCCGAGGACTTGGGCTTGCCCGCCTGGCCCCGGACCCGCGCCCGCAACTGTTGCCGGAGCTGGTGGGTCCTCGGCTCGAGGGAGGAGGCGAGGGGGCAGTTGGCACGGCTGCGCCCAGAGCTCGCCGCAGCCCTTTATTTCTTCTGGCTGCCTCCAGCGCCGCTCCACCCCCATTCCCTCGGCTCTGAGCTGACGTGTCTTTAGTTTCCACGTTAGGAGCCTACCTTCATTCATTTGCTGAAACCTTTGTTTTCTAAACACCTAAACTCTCAGTGCACGTTTTTTTCTGGTCATCTTCCCCTTTATCAGCACCTGGTCCCTGTGTGTTGCCAGGAGTCTTGATTTCAGAACAATTCCCCATCCTTGCCTCCATTGTCCACTCCTATACTCCCCAGGCGGACTGAAGAATTCCTGTGGGATGTCTGTTGTGCCTCTTTTTTCCTCTCTTTTTTTCAACCATTTTTTGTTTCGTGGAATTATCATGTCATGAAAAAATACAGTCTGATTTGAGTGTTTTGGTTTTTTTTAAAATTGAGGTTTATTACTTCCAACAGTTAACGTGGTACGAAAATAACTTAAATAGCAGAACGTTAAAAATGTGGTGACTTGGCTTCTTACCCTGATTCTGTTATGTAGCAAAATGTAGTCTGACTAAAGGATCATTAGAATCCTTTGATTCTATAAGTTTTAGCGATCTGTGTGGCAAAATGAATGATAATGACAGCTTTCCACGAGTTGTTTTGCAAAGAAAAGTTAAGTGACTGGTTTCTATTTAGTGGATAGAAAACCCAAGTGTGAAAATTAACCAAAACTATTCATGAATTCATTTGCAGGTTGAAGGATTCTTTTCCTTAACCAGTGGCTTGCTGGTTCGTTCTCACTTGGTTTTTTAAAGAAAATTTGCTAATTCTGCTTGTATAGAATCCAGGCTATATTTTTTCAGATTTTAAAACGTTTTCTTTTTTTAAGAAACATCAGTATGTAAACTGAACTGATTTTCTTTAATTTTTTTTGTGAGGAATGGTCTTTTCTTTCAAAAGATGTTTTCTCAAATTTTTACAATTGAAAACTATTAGATTTTATAGGCACAAAATTGTTATTGGCTAGCATTAAAATGAATTGTTTAATAGCCACTGAAACAGGGTTAAAAGCCGTTATGTCTTAGTCCTGAAATTTAAGTACAACTTTAAGTTACGTCAGACAGATATTTTTCTTACTGGTTTTTGAAATGACTTGTAAGTTATGAATGCACTATTTTAGTCTTTGTTCAGCAAGAAATAGAAGCTGTTTTTCAGTTCATAATGTGTGATTTAATGTTCTTGAATATTTTGCATAAATCTTTACAGCCAGTAAGAACTCAAGGAACTAGAAAAGACTTAAAATGCATGATCCTTAATATATACTGTTTCTCTTGGGTATTGCAGCATATGCATGTTTCCTTTCCCACATTTTTCTCTACTGAATTGCCACATCATCATTCTTTCTGAGAAATGTTGGAAGAGTTGCTAGAACTTTGAAATTTCTTTTGAGGGTCTTGCCTGAAATGGATTTAATGTGACTTATTTAGAGTACTTTTACCTACAAATTATGATTTATAACTTCTTGGCATTACACTTACTCGTAACTTTTATTTTGATATTAAGTGTAGGGGAAATAAAACATCTTAAAACATGTTTGAAGTCATATGCAAAAAGAAAAGCATGCTTTTTTCTCTGCTATCAACCCTGAAGTTACCAATAAAGATTTTTTACTGAACAGTGTGTTTTACACAGCTAGTTTTTATCTTGGATGCCATACAAATACTTTGTTCCTTGAAATTACATGCTGTCAAGTTCTAAGCTTTGAGCTGTAGTCAACTCTAATAACAATGTTTCTTGCCTAGATATTGAGATTGCTGTTTCCCCTTAGACCTGAGTTTTTTGGTGGTTTTATTTTATTTTATATGGTTAATGACAGGATTAAATTTTGGAATTTCTTACTTTTCAAACACTTATTTTCCTTAATTTTTAACAAATTTTTAACAAAATTTCTTGTAGTTCTTTATTTGGACTTCAAGGCATCTTTAGTTTCAGGAGTTCATTTTTTTCAACTGTTAGGTGCTTTTTAAAATTAGACAGCATTTCCCATTAAAATTAAACTGCAGTTGTTTAATTTTAATAAAATTAAAATAAAATCATGTGAATATTCTTAGATTAATTGTAGTTTGACATTATTCAAGAGCACTGGGTGATGGAATTATTCCAGGGGGGAATTTTCTTTCACTACTCTTGAGATTAAAAAACATCAGTATTCCAGGATAGCTAACTGCTTGTTTTATGTTTTATTGTTAGGCGCAGTAGCAGTGGCTCAAGATCTTACAGAAGATGAAGAAACAGTGGAAGATTCAATAATTGAAGATGAAGATGATGAAGCAGAGGTGGAAGAAGATGAACCCACAGATTTGGTTAGTTTATGTATGGTTAAATGCATGTACATAATATGTCTAGAATTTGTCCTTTTCATAGAGAAATTTGGTATTAAAATTCTTGATTTTAGAGGTTTGTTACTGTGATCAGTGTGGATTAAAGTTTGGAGACTAAGGACCAGTTCTTGGGGATGGATCCTAAGTATTTTCTGGAACAGGGAAGGGAGATCACATGGACATGACTCTGTAAGGGTAACAGTATAGTGGATTGCACTGGACCATTTATTGATAGATCTGGATGCACACTACTTAGCTTTCTGACCTTGGGTAACTTGTCTCTCTGGGTCTCAGTTTCCTCTTTCTTTTTTCTTTCCTTCAATAAGCAAATATTTATTATTGAGCCCCTTGTGTGTGCCAGGCACTGTTGTGGATGCTTGGGTGAACAAACCAGGTATTTTCTCCGCTGTCATGGAGTTCAGGTTCTTGAGGCAGTGTCTATGTGAAGAGTAAAGGGCTGAGAGAAGATTTCTTAGAAGTCGTCCAGCTCTGATACTTTTATTATAAAATTGTAGTATGACAGTAAGAACATTGAGCTAGAATAAAAGTTATTGCAGCATGCTTCTAGCTAATTTCATTTCCTCTCTTGGACTACTGTCATCTCTGTATCCTACACAGATATATTTTTTTCTTTCTCTTATGCCACACTTGAACCTGGAAACTTGTGATTCTAGATTTTGCCTTTTTTTTTTGAGATTAAACCAAGTCCCTATTTTTCTGTGTGTCACCATAAAAATAATTAGCCTCACATATAGGTTTCTGCTCCTGTTTTGACTTAGCCTCATTTTTATGGAGTATGCTTTTCAACTAAGCTAATCTGCTTGCTATTTTGTTGATGTGTAAGTTATCATTTTTATGCTTCTGCACATACTCGTACTGTTTCACTTGACTAGAACACCCTGACTAATTTTTGTACTTTTCTAATTCCCCATCCTTCAGGAAACCTGTACTGATTACTGTGTGTCAAGCCTTTCATGTGTATGAGTACCCATACTTCTAGGGTTTATATTAGGTCTGTGCAACTTTAACTAGTTCAATAAATTCCTCCATCTTTAGACTTGACTGTTCTAAAAGTGCCATTTATGGTAAGATAACTTTGAGTGAACAATGGAAGGGAATCCATCCAGAAATTGAGGATTAGAGATGGTATTTAGGCTCTGAAACCTGGGCATGTACAGAAATTTTGTCATAGATTATATTGTTAAAACTGCCTTTCTGAAATTCTTGGGCTGTCTAGCACTGGAATGTACTTGTTGTGGAGGAAGAGAGTAGAGAAGAAAACTGTTAGATCTTTGTTACATTTACACTTTAGCCAGGACTTTCTCTGCCTTGATTGTCTCTCTTACCCTCCACTCCTTACCCTGGCCAGTTAGTACAGAAGCATTAGTAGCCTTTGCTGTGATGCCCTCCTCAAATCAGGAAATGGTTAGGGAATGTTGAAGCAGGAAGACAGGGAAAGTGTTTCCTTCCTTGGGACTAGACCATACCAGCAGTGGTAGACTTGTGTGGGACTGTGGAAGCTAAAAAGGATACGCCTCTAGGGCCAGAGGTGCTACAAAAGTTACCTCCAGAGCTTAGGGCCCTACAACGTCTCACATTGTTGTTCCCCAAGATTTACATTATCAACTTATATACAGCTGCCTTTAGGCACCAAGGAATTAGGGTATATGGAAGGATCCTTTGCCACTGGGCCTGTGTCTGGAGTCGGGACAGAAAGGACATTTTCCTAAGATTGGAGATACCAGCAGGTTTAGATGCAAGTTACTGGTTTAAAATTTTTTGGTGCAAATTTTTTTTTAAGTCACCTTGGGCTTGTCTATCCCTTTGGTTATTCTTTAGTCTCTAAAGCTATGGGTTGCAATGTAGCTTGCAATTCTTCTCTGAAAGTATTTTTAACAGAACTGATGGCAATTTTCGTTTTGGTTTTTATTAAAACAAGCCCTATAGTAGTAACACTAGCTAACATAAAAATGTTAGTATTATTTAAAATAAATAATGATTCAAATGGATCAGAATTTAAAAGATGCAAGGTGTATAGTGAAAAGTTTCTCTTGCACGCCTGTCCTCCAGCTGCTGAGGTCATCTCCTAAGATTGACCGGTTTCTTGACTCTCCTGGAGATAGTCTGTAATAGCTGAAATATTTTAGAGAAGGACCATGTAGCAGGTACTGGCAATATACATATCACACACACACACACACACACACACACACACACACACACACACGTATATGGCTTATGAATTCGCTATAACGGGTAGGCAAACTGCAGCTTGCGAGCCACATGCAGCTGTTTGGGTACGATCCGTCTCAAAAGTTTGCCGACCCTGGAAGAGCCAATCCTGTCCGTTACAACAATTTAAAAATTATTTGAGAGCCATAATATATTTTTACATAATTACCATTATGTGAATAATAGCCTTTAAAAATTTTATAAAAATACTATGAGTTTTATTTTCAATTTTACTTGAAAGTCACATGTACATACCCAAAGAGCTGCATGTGGCTCGCGAGCCACAGTTTGCTGACCCCTGGCAGCTATTCCGTCTCAAAAGTTTGCCGACCCCTAAGCTATAAGATAGCTATTTACTTTTACTTACATATACTTCCGGTTCTTCACAACTAGCATTCCAAACATTTACCACTTTGAAACTCCGAAATCAGTCCTTCAGTCTTAGCAACAACATTGCCTTCAGTGTCACAAAGTAAAGGCCATTGAGTGTGAACTCTTATCAAATTTTCTACTTTCTATTTCTAAATATATTATGCACCCATCGTTTCTACGTTTTCTTTACCAGCATGCTTCTTGAAAGAGTAAACTGTACAGTTTTGCCCTTCTGTTTACGTCACATTTGTTCTGGTAAGTTGTGTGGCTCCCTGTGTCTAGTAAATCTGTTCTTGCTAAGTCACCAGTAGGTGACCTAATTGCCAAATTCCTGGCCTGTTTGCATTTGTTATCCTGATTGAGCTCTTTTTAGCATTTGCTGATTACCCCTTCCTTGAGTCCCTTCGTGTTGGCTTCTATGGTAACCCCTCTTAGTTTTCCCTGCCCAGCTGCTGCTACCTTCTCTCCTCTGCTCACCCTCTCATTGCTGATGAAACCTCTGATTTTAGCCACCATCACCTTCTATTGATGGCTTTCAGATCTCGATTCTAGCCACCAGCCTTACTGTTTCTGTGCTTTATACCTGTACTTTCAACATTTTGCAGGGTAGCACCATCTGGGTGCTCAAATTTTGTATGTCCAAAATGGAGTTCAGCATATACCCTCCATCCCACCTCTATAAACTATTTCTTGTTTTGATATGACTCCAGTGATTCAAACTGTTGCCTTGTTACTTCCATTTCCTTTTACGCCACAACACATAAATCAAATCTTAGGGATGGTTTGTCTTACCTGTTTCTCAAGTATAACCTTTCCTCTTTATTCCTACAGCTTATTCCTTCCTGCCTTCGGTCTGTTTTCCTACTTGTGGGTCTCTTTTCCCAAAAGTAGACATCACTAACCCTTATTAAATGAAAGTTATCATTAAGGATACTTAAAATATAGCATATTACTGCACATTCATCAAATGTTTAAGTGCCTTGTCTCTTAAGCATATGAACTGGGTGTGTTGAATTTTTAAAGTATAAACAGTCTTTGTCTTTGCTCTTGCAAAGCCTGTCTATTGAAAGAAAGTAGTTTATGTAAATGAAAAGTTAAAAACCAGTAAACAATGGTGCCCATAAGCATCTCAAATTATTAAGGCTCTGAACACTTCAAACATACTCATCTCTGTAGTCCTCACTGATGCCTGGAGAAAGGCTGCACTGAGATTTTAAACTAAAGTTTGTTCACATTTTTTAACAACTTTATTGAGATATTTACACATCATAAGTCAACTGTTTTAAGCATACAATTCAGTTATTTTTAGTGAATGTACCATGTTGTGCAACTTTAATCAAGTTTTAGGACACCTCCCTCACCCCCGTATGATCCCTAGCTGTTTGTTTGTTTGCCCATTTTTTCCAGTTGTGTGATGAATTCTTACAGGAAAATTGTTCTGTTGATCAGGATGGAAATCTTTGTAGGCTGATAAGGTGTTGTAGAGCAGGGTCAGGACAATGTGGCTGCACCAAATCCAGTACGTATTGTCTGTCCGCTTTCACACTGCAGCCACATTGAAGGCGGCACAGAGTTGAGTAGTTGCAATGGGGACTTTATGGTTCTCAAAGCTGAAAATGTTGATATCTGGCCCTTTACAGAAAAAGTTTACCAACCTTCACTTTAGAACCTTGCAGTTGAAAAGGTGGTTTGAGTATCAACAACATGGCATTTCCTGGGTGCTTGTTTGAAACAAAGAATTCCAGACTTTACTGTAGACTTGAATCAGGTCTGCAAAATCTCGGGGCTTGGTATGCACATTACTGTTTGAGATGCACCACTCAAGTTTTTATTTTAACTGATAAGACACAATGAAATTCCTACCACTGCTAATCCCAACAAAGCGTTGGACAGGCAATATTTTGTCCCAAATCTTAGGAAGTCGTTTGTAAATGATGGTGTGTTTTCCCCCCACAGTAATCCCATTTTAATGTTGTTTTTCTTAGGCAGAAGATAAAGAGGAAGAAGATGTATCTGGTGAACCTGAAGCTTCACCAAGTGCAGACACGACTATTCTGTTTGTGAAGGGAGAAGGTAATAGAGAAATAGTCGTTTTAACTCAGAGGGATTTTGTAAATGACAGGGTCACTTTTTTGGGAAGCATTAGTAATGCTTAAGATCTTTATTCATCTTCCTCTCTTACAAGTATAGTGTAAACACACAATTTGAAAAAAACCCTCTTATATATCTATGAATACCCATGTCTGTAAGGTAGTATTCCTGGCATTTAAGGGGAAAAATAAATACTACCTATTCTAACTAGAAGCTAAATGTTCCTTTGAAAGAAGACTGCCACAGTAAACTACCTCATATTTTGAGTGGAAACATTAGTGAAATATTAAATCTTTACAATTAGGCCTTGGCTAGAGATTAGGTTTCATTAAAAGAAAATAAATACAGGCTTGTATTTAATGAGGGCTATGTGGCAGGCACTGTTCTCAGTAGCTTGGCTGTGTCATGTAATCCTAACAGAAATCCTGTGAGGTTAGTTACTGTTGCTGCACTGAGATTTAGAGAGGTGAACACCTCGTCCAGGTTACCCAGCTAGTAGATAGAGTGGAGACAAGATTCAGACCCACATGGGTCTGACCGCAAAGCTTGTGCTGTGCTGGGTAAAACTCAGCTCTGTAGACTACGGTATGATTATTGAAGACATTATTTCAAGTTATTTTCTTGGTCTTCTCAGCTTTTCTGTTTTATTCCCCCATAGGTTCCAACTTTATGCCTACAAAAAGTGTAATTTGGTTAAGAGAGTTTTTTTAAATCCCCGTTTATTTTTGGTAGCCTCCTCCTTGGGTCTTACCTTCAAATTTGCATTTGACTAATTGCAAATTTTTTTTTTTTAACGTTCTAACAGATGTTACAATTTTGCTGAACTTCTTAGATGATCTTTTTGTCATCCTTCCCATTATTTGCACAAATCACAGATACTGAGGTAGGGAAGGTGAATTCATCAAGACATACAGCCCCACTACAAGACAATGTTAATGCTAAAAGTACACAACTCTCATAGACCACATAACTTGGATGTGAACTAGTCTGAAATTGAGATTCTCAGTTCAACTCTTAAGTCGGAATGTTGGAATACAGGCAGAGGTTGAAGATTATACACCAACTCCAGTTACTAATTAGTGGATGACTGGAGTGCTCTATTGAAGGGGCTATAAAACCAAGTCTCCATGCATCAGGAAGGGGTGCCAAAGTCCATTAGTAATGTCTGATTTTATTTTATGCCCTCAGAACATTTTCTAATCTTTCTGCCTCTTTTTGTTTCTTAGATTTTCCAGCAAATAACATTGTGAAGTTCCTAGTAGGCTTTACGAACAAGGGTACAGAAGATTTTATTGTTGAATCCCTAGATGCCTCATTCCGTTATCCTCAGGACTACCAGTTTTACATCCAGAATTTCACTGCTCTTCCTCTGAACACTGTAGTGCCACCCCAGAGACAGGCAACTTTTGAGTACTCCTTCATTCCTGCAGAGCCCATGGGTGGACGACCCTTTGGTCTAGTCATCAATCTGAACTACAAAGATTTGAACGTAAGGCCCTCTAAACTTTGGGGTTGTTGTTTTTTTTGTTTTGTTTTGTTTTATTCTTTTTTTTTAGTTAGAGATGGATGAGGACAATTGACATTTGGATATTCTTGTACTTACTCATTCAAGTGCCTGTTTTTCGGTTGAAGCTGTGATAGGTACTAGGGAGGCAAAGATAAATTGCACGTCTCTTCAAGTCTATAATCCACTGGGGGAGATGTAAGTAAACAAGCAATATCACAGCATGAGAAGTGATACATACTAGAGATAGGTGTAAGGTGCTATAGTATGAAAGTGGAAGTGACGTGAGCTGGATTCTGAAAAGGAGCAGTAAGCCACACAGTGGTGTCTGTAGTTAGCAGTAAGGTTCATGGTTTGTCAGAACCCAATAGCCTAATATTAGCTCTGTTGTGCCTTTCTTATAATATTTAATCTATATGGTATGTATCTAGTGAATGAATGAAAGAAGCCCACCACAATTGAACTGCTGGGGGTTGACCTCTAGATGCCAGTTATTACGTCCACCTTCAGTTAAGAGCACATTCCCTTTTCAAGAAGTTTTCAAAGCAGGAAATTTCATCCTCTTGGAATCTTATTCAGCCTTTTATCATCTTGGTGTCAACATGTTTACCTCATGTCTTAGTTAAATTTCTTGTGCTACAATTAAGTTTTCCCTTTTAATTACTTAGTAGAGAGTAGAAATAGTAAGTACCACCTTTGTGCAAAGTATCAAACACTAAAAACAGCTATTGATATATTGTCCCTGTTTTTCTGATGTGTTTGGAAACAAATTGTGTTGAACTGACAAAATGGTTTCAAGATCACAACAGAAAATTATTTTTTTATTGTGAAATACACATTTTTAAAAATTAGTTTCAGCTGTATAACAAAGTGCAATAGTTATACTTTTTACCCCTCGAAGTGACAACTCCCCTCCCCCAATTCGCTGCCAGAAAATTATTTTGATCCTGAAAAATCACCAACCCATTTATTATAAAGAAATTGATTTCCAGTCCCCTGTCAATTTAGAACATGAATTTGACTTTTGTTCAAGTCTAGTTCTTAAAACGATCTGCTACTGCGCTACTACTGTAATACTCATGCTCTTCCTTTCTTGTTTTGGAGGATTACACACAACAGAAGCTAGTGCTTCTAGTTGTCAGCGTGTCCTGTGGGCTTTGTTTCTTCCTGCACATTTTATCTTGTTTTTTTTACTCCCCTGGTTCTTCAGCCTCTTACCCCACCACCGCCACCCCCACCCCCAAAGAAAGTGGGGCACAACTTTGGCAAAGCTGGAGGCATTTTTTTTTTGGTAGGAGAAAGTAACACAATGTCGAATCCCTGACACTGAATTAGTTGCATTACATATGGCTTTGTTTAGTCATACATTCTAAGTGATAAGAAAGCTGTAGTGTATTTCTTAGGATGATGGTTTTAAGAAACCTTGTAAGCATTCATTTTTCCAGTGCATTTCAGATTTGGGGAAAATTTTTTTTTTAACAGGGTAATGTATTCCAAGATGCTGTCTTCAATCAAACAGTTACAATTATTGAAAGAGAGGATGGGTTAGATGGAGAAACGTAAGTAAAAGTTGAAATATGTGGATTTTGATCTCATTAAGTAAGACTAGAAATAGGTTGCTCCTGTCAACCTATTTTTATTAAATGATGCAAATGCAATAGACTATATAGATTTGATGAAATCCTTACTACATAAATCCATACTTCAGATGATTCTTATAATACCAAGTTAGGATGGATAGTTGAAACTGACAAATTTGTTTTAAAAACATAACTTTGGCTTTCCATCCTTTCCCTCTTCTAAATTCTTTTTCACACCATGCTTCTTAAGCTGATCACCAGCCTAATCCTAAATTGCATGCCTCTAAATTCGCTATTGAAAACATAAATTATAAGATTTTATCTTGAAAAATATGTTCTTTGTGAATGATGAATCATTTCTTACTGTGTACTTACATGTAATTCAACGAAAGTAATTTTCAAAACAAAATGCAAAATAATCTGATATATTTGAAGAAGACAAAACCTAATGCAATTATAAAATCGTTTTATTCATTTCAGTACATATTGCTTTTTAAAACTGATTAATTGTTCTTAGAGATAAGTAAAAAATATATCAAACTTATTACCTGGATCTGTGTTGAATTAAAAATACTTTTATTCCTTTTCCCAAGTTACTTGGAAAGCTTATATCGTGTGGTAGCATTATAGATGTAATTAACTATGGTGTTTCTTAGAAGTTAAAACAGAATTATAGTTTTAATTAGCTGAGACATTTCCTATGAATTAAGACAGTTTGTATTTTCTCCTTTTATATCAGAATCTTTATGTATATGTTCCTTGCCGGTCTTGGGCTGTTGGTGGTTGTTGGCCTTCATCAACTCCTAGAATCTAGAAAGGTAATTACAGATGAACAGCTCTTATAGCCGTACTTTAGAAGTTGTTACAGTACTGAATGAAATACGGTCCAGTTACTTGTGGTTTCTTGGTTTCACTGTGGGTTTGTATATTTACAGGTTTGTTATACCTTTTAAAAATAAATACTGAAGGTGAAACTTTGGATGTGTGACTTGGATTTGTTTAGACTTTTCTACACGTGTGCAATTAGTGTCCTTATCTACACCCTCCAGAGTGATCTGTACCTTCTTGTTGTTATTGTAACTCTAAATTATGCTGGAATTTTTATTCCGTAAACTCAGAGATAAGATTTCATTTTTCTGCTTACTATACTTTTTCATGGATGTTTGTTATTTTATCTGTAAGCACTGCACCTTTTATATTTTCTTTAATACTGTTTAACTATAGGGATAATTCCTAATTAGCAATTAAAAGAATCTTTTCACTTGGAAAAGAATAAATTTGTCTGTATTTGTTCTAACAGCCTAACTTCTGTTTTCTTGTTAGCGTAGTAAAGTGGCAACACTAAAGCACCTGCTATAATCCTGGTTTCTCTGTGTGGATGTAATAGCTAATTTCACCACTGTCCTCATCTCACTCCTCCCCCACCCTGCAAAACAAAACAACCCATACTGTTCCTCTGAATGGGAAAGTGTAACATGATTTGTGTTAACTATATTAATATTCACCAATACCCTCATATTAAAACTAGCAGTTAGTGTTATTAATAAGCACTTGCTCTTTAAAAGAGAAATTCTTAGTACTTAAGTGTTAATTTCCATAACTTTCTTTGCCTCATTTTCATAATAGGCAGCATTTTTGCTATGTTAAGTATAATGGCATCTCCAACTTTTTTCCATTTGAATGAAGCCATTTTTTAAATTAGCTGAGGTGACTTTTCTGTGTATTCAGAATCTAATTTTTGGACTGTATAATTAATACTCTCTTATGTAAATAATTAAGGGTTTTTGATTGTTTGTTTTAAGAGCAGGACTAAAGAATGGAATTGAATTACTTTATAGCAGTTTTGCCGCAGATACTTCAGGACAGAGTTTTAGGTTGTTGGCTTAAATGGGAATTTATGTTTCTGTTTTATCTATGCCAACTGTTGAAGTGTATTTAGTTAACAGTACAGGCATCTGCCTGCATGCAACATTTCAGTAATTATCCTGAATTTTGTTGAATGTAGAAATAAATTCTTTTAGATTTGATTCCCAAAGGGAAAGAACATCGTTTAAGGTTCTTATATGATGGTCCACCAATTGTGTAATGACATGAAACTTTACAGCACAGGAAAATGCCTTTAAAGCCTGAAAATAAATAGTTATTGTGAAGATTTATTCTTTACTATTTATTCTTTATAATTGGTGCTAGACATGATTTGGTCCTCTGATTAATAAAAATTTGAATTAGGAATATGTTTTAAAACTAGAAGAGAACATGTAAGTTTGTTAAAATATTTAAGTAGCTTGATAAGTCTCTTTTTAAAGTTATAGCAAACGATATAATGAAACTCCTTTAAAGTAATGTTTTTATGTTCTCTTAGCGCAAGAGACCCATACAGAAAGTAGAGATGGGTACATCAAGTCAGAATGATGTTGACATGAGTTGGATTCCTCAAGAAACTTTGAATCAGATCAGTAAGTACTCTTATTAACTTGGGTGGGAACTTTTTCTCTTAAATAGAAATTAAATATTTATTTTAGATTTAGCAAAAAGTGCTTGGTCAGTGCTATTTAACACTCTTCTTTTTTTTCTTTGTATAGAATCTAGTATAATATGATTGAGTGCTTTAAAATTTTATTCTGTGTAATATTTTTACACTTTAATTTAGAAATGCTTCCAAATCTACAGTTTATACACAAATGTGTGAATTCTCTGTATTCCTAATCTTTTCCCTGTCTCTCTTCTTTCCTGTTGCTTCAGTGCAGAGTAGAAGAGGTGAGGCGATTAATTTTTTAATGGTATTTGCTGTGTATTGGGGGCTCTTGCATAGCACATGAATATTTTACGTAAGTTTAATGAGTAATGAAACAGTTTTCTAGCACTCTGTTGGAAAAACTACCCTCTATAGTTTGAAAGAATAAACCTAAAATTTTGCCTGATAGTTTACTTAACAGATATATTTCAGTTTTATTGCATATGATGCAGCTAGTTAAAATATTTACCTTTATAAGACAATGTAGAATTTTTTTCTCCAATTGTAAATGGACTTTTAAAAAACATTTATTATAAAAGCAGTAAGACTTTATTGTAAAAATAGTACAGAAGTGAAAAGCAACAATGACCTCCTAGATCCACTAATCCCATTTTCCATAAATAATTGGCATATATGTGTTATTTTAAGTATTTTCTATACATATAGCAGCATATATGTCCATTGTTTCTCTGTGTTTTACACAGATGGCATCACATTGCACACAGTTCTACAACCTGAGTTTTCGTGCCTTGGATTTCTTTTTGTGATAGCTACTTATATATTTACCTCATTCTTTTTAATAACTAGGTAGTATTTTATATAAATGTGTCATGATAGATTAGATTAAGCCTGTATTGCTGTGTTGAAGGATGTTTGTTATTTCCAGTTTTTTACTCTTACAATTAGATGTGTAGTGAGGAAGCTTGTCATATAGCTAGTGAGAGGCGGAGCCAGGACTTAGATAAGTTCGTGCTACCTAAAGTAGTGGTATAAAGGCGCGTGAGGCATAATTATTAAATAGTACTAAGCGCTCATATGTAAGCATTTATTTTTTTAAAATGTAATCAAGGTTCTTATATTTAAATTTATGGGATTTTTAAAAATTGAGATATAGTTGACATATAACATGATATTAGTTTCAGGTGTACAGTGTAATGGTTCAATATTTGTATATGTTGCAAAATGATCCCCACAGTAAGTCTAGTTACCATCCGTCACCACACAGAGTAACATTTTTTTTTCTACTCTCAGCAACTTTCAAATATACAACAGTATTGCATCCCCATGACGTGCTTTTTTTATAACTGGAAGTTGGTACCTCTTGACCTCCTTCATCCATTTCACCCACTCCCCACATGGAAATATTTCTTAAAAGTAAAATATCTAGTTCTAAGATTATATGTATTTTAGTTTGTATGGAAAGTATCCCATTTTTCCTCTCAAAAGATAGTGCCAATTTATGTTCTCACCAGTGTACAATACTGTTTCTCCTCTACTCTCATTTATTCTCAAGTGTTATCAAATGTTTTAATCTGTCCTTATACAAAATGGTATCTCTTTTTCTTTTTTGTTACAATTAAGAATGAGGTTTGGCTCCTTTACACATATTTATTGGCCACTTATTAATAGTATTTCTTTTCCTCAGAATTGGCTTGGTTCAAGTCATTTCTGGGTTTACAAGTTGAATTGTTTCTCTATTATTTTCAGTGAGCTCTCTCTATTGAAACATAGTTACAGTATGGGTACATACTATACCCATAATTAAAAGTGGGTACAAAGTAATGAGAGCATAGAAGCCCCCCTCCTCTAGGCGAGTAGGAAATCATTCACAGAAGGGTTGACATTTGACCAGAGCCTTTAAAAGTTGCATAAAAAGGGGTCTTCAAGGTTTTATGTGCTATGCTAAGGACTTACAAGCCATCAAACACTTTAAAGCAGAGAAATAACAAATTTATGTTTTAAAAGAAATTATGATAGTTTTGTGGAGAATGGCTAGCAAGCAGGAGCTACTACAAAATGATTTCGAAAAAGCGTGAGAAATCAGTAGGGCCTAAGCTAAGGCAGTAATGATGAGAATAAAAGGGAGCAGCAGAAAGATGTTATAGAAGTGGAACAGACCAGGCTTTTGGTGACATTATGGGTGTCGTGGGGGGGAGTGAAAGAGTACTCTGAGCTTAGGCTGCTGGGTGGAAGACGATCCTGTTAATGCGGGGAATGCAGGGAGAGGAGTGTGAATGCATGTAGAGAGGTGAGGTGCGCTTGGATCTGTTGAATGTGAGGAACCCGTGAAACTCCCAGATAAGGAAGTCTAGTCAGCATTTGAATGCTGTGTGTAGAACAACAAGTGAGTCAAAATTTGGAGAAGATGGGACATATAGCATGGGTGGTAGCTGAGGTTATGGGAGTAAATCTTTTCTGTAAGGACAAATTTTCCATATCATCCTGACTTCAGTGTAGCAAAAAATAGAACTGGGTTGAAATGTAAACCATAATCTCTTCACAGTGCATCAGAATTATGAAGCCTGTGTACCTTTAAATACGTGATTTCTTCAAATATAATTATATTTTAACTGTCTTACACAGAATTAGCTGAAACTACATTTGAAAAGCATTAAAAATTATAATTGACTAAAGTCACTGTAACAGCTATGGAGTCAACCTCTTCAAAAGAATTTTTACATGACAAATAGATTGGGAGGTTTGTTTTATAGTGTCTTTCTCCCTGCCATTGTTATTCGTGAACTTAAATGCTGGAAATTATTACTACATTTATTGAGCAAAATTCAAATCATGTACAATTGTGTTTTCATTTGACAAGTACTAAGTATCTACTGTCGTAATTCTCTACTAGGTTGAGTGGTATCTTAAAAAGTTAAGAAAGTTACTATTTTTTTCAAGAATTTAGATTTCTACTTGAGGAAAATAATGCACATAACATGAAATATTTGAGTAAACAGATAGTATGTGATTATGTGCTAGATTGAATAATATAGACAGCTAACATGTTAGGAAAAGGGACCATATTAGAATCAGGGGTGGCCTTGTTGAAGGATAGAACTTACGTTAGGTGCCTTCTGTGTACTGGGCAGTCACTCAGCTGCAAGGTCAGCTGCCGTCACTGTTGGTGAGAAATTGCTCCTAAGAAAAAAGTAACTTGCCACGATTCACAACTACATTTGTCTCATTCTAAAGCCCATGTATTTTCCCAGTGAGACTTAATACTCAAAGATGGGTACAATTAAAGTCACTAAATACTTTTAACAACATTTGCTTATCTTGCTCAAAATCTGATTGTCTAGCCTAAGGACCATGTCTTGCCACCAAAGACACTTGTATTATTCCTTTCTTTTCCCATTTAAGTGAAATTCCTTGTTTTAAAAAACTTCATGGACAAGGGAACTTCTAACCAGCATTGAGCTAATCCAGTTACCCATTTAGGACGATAAAATGTTTTATCAAATTCAAGAAGGTTTTTTTTTTTTGTTTGTTTGTTTTTAAGATTTTTTTTTATTGGGGAATTGGAGGAAGGGGAACAGACAAGTTGCTATCCTTTTGTTCTTCAGTCTAGTTATGGAGGACGTTGCTTCACTGGCCCAAGTTGGCACCATCATTACTGTCTTCCCGGGCAAGACAGTCGCCAGCTTCTGGACAGCTGCTCACTGCAGCTGCTGGCCGCTCACGCTGGCTGCTGGCTACACATGGTAGCCCATAGCAACCCACGGCAGCAGGGGTTGCAGCCTATGCCGTCGCCGGCGACTCATGGCAGCCCAGCTCCAGGTTGAGCTGTTGTTCAGCATCTTAGCTGTAGAGGGCAGTGTCACTGGCCCTCATATGTGGGATCCGAACTGGGGCCCTCTGGCGTCCCAAGCCAGCTCTTAACCAACGCGCCACTCGGCTGGCCCTCAAAAAGGTTTTGATGTTTTGCCCTCTACAAGCTTATTGAGAGGCATGTTATTTGTTGATTGTTTTTTGGAATTTGACAATAGCTGGAAGGCACATAATACCCATAGCTACAGTCTTTTCTCACTATTAATTACTTTTACAGCAAAACCCGGGATCCTGGGGCCCCAAAAGGAGCCTCATCTTGTGAAATCAAAGGGGTCCTGAGAGCATTTCAGAAATTGGGCGTAGAGATTAAGTAAAAGGGTGTGAAAAAATAAGTATAGTTGGCAAAAACATGATTTAGTCTTTTAGAGTATAGATTTCTTTTTTCTATGCAAAACCCATCTTTTTAAACTTGCTTTTTTGATTCGAGGTACTTTAAATTATAGAAAAATGGCACATGTCAATGTAAGAAACATCCAAACCTGTAGAGGAATTTTTATGAGTTTATTTGGGCCAAACTGATGATATGCCGGGAAGCGAGATCTCAAATCTCTGCAGAATTACAGTTTGCAGCTTCTTTTATACATTTGGAATTAACGGGGGAATGTAAGGAAGAGTATATGAAGTGGGAGAAAGCAAGTCTGGGAAATATGTTTAGATTACAGAATAGTACAAGACTATGCTCTCTGGAGGGCAGTTACACTTCCCAGGGAGCTGAAGAAGAGGCGTTTCAAAGGTGTGTTAATCTAGATGCACATAACAATAGACTGGGCTTGCTTAAGGCAAAGATAGCCTTTTACTAGGGAAGTTATAGGCCTGGGGCATGACAACCCACCATGACCTGCCCAGTTAGGAATTTATGATCAGATCACCCTTTACTTTCAGTTTGATTTATTATTTTTTGCCCACATAACACTATCTCTAAAATATTTCAGTTTGCAAAGAAATACCATTTTCTGACAGAAACATCACATTTAAAGATTTATTATTTTATTATATGTAACAACCCATTCATATTGAAATTTCTTCAATTGTTTCAAAAATATTCTTTATAACTGGTTTTTCCAACATAGGATAATGCATTGCATCTGGTTGTTATATCCCTTAAGTCCCTTT